TCGGCTCAGGATGGAATAAGCATGTGGCAAATGCATGGACTGCTGCTCAGCCTAACATATTTTCTCCACCAGGAATGTCAGGCTCCAGCAAGGAGCTATGGAACTTTCTGGAGCAGACGACATGGTCTTGCTGTCCCTGGTGGCCCTCTTCAAGAGTGAGATTAGATGACATTTCTGTTTGTGAGAACTGCCTTCCAAGAAGAGCAGCGCTGGGGGAAATGAAAGGCCTTTTGTTGCGCTCAGAATCAGAGCCAGAGAGAATTTGGATATGCATGCTAACCAACCTGCAGCAGGAAGGAGCAACGAGGGCAAAGGGGACAGAAGAGAGAGAATCTGGCCACTGATGGGCAGGTGCTGGGGACCAGAGAGGTGACAAAGGTGGTAGGCAGGAGGAAATCCCCAGGGAAGGGGATGTTCAATTTGAAATTCTTTGCATTGCTGATAGAGGTGTCTGGTTTAGAAAGGGGGTGGGGGAAGCAATGGTACTGGGAGTTATCTGGCAACCTTGATCATCGTGATATCAGTTTCTTCTAAAAACCTTCCATCAAGTCTGTGTTTAATGTTATGCTGTATATAATTTAGAAGGTTTTGTGGAAGAGTTTCAAGTGGGGCTTTGGGATTTTAGGAGCAGACCCAGGACTTCTGGAGAAGGGTTTGGAGCTTTCCAAAGGCAGAGGCAGAGGGTTTGGAGCAGGCTTATCTAGGAATCTGACCAGGAATTCATGGGAGACTGAAGCCAACAGACACCTGGGCTCACAACGCCTGCGCCGCCTGCGCCGTACCGCGTGTGCGGCTTTGCAGAGATTGGGAGAACAGAATCACTGAATGAACGATGCCTCTGCTCCCTGCCCTGCCTCCACCTCTCCTAGGAGGGTTAGTGGTGAGCGACCCGGGCACAGGTGCAAAGTCCTTTATGTTGTGGAGGTGCAAAGTAGGGGTGATGGTGCTGAGGTTCTCTGATCGTCTAAGAGGGGTTGCCCAGCCCCAGGATGGCACAAATGCACACTGTGGTTGTACATCTTCCTGGGGAAAGGCGGGGCTGGGCTTTCAGCAGGTTTCTCAGAACTCCTGAGTGACTGCAAAGGTCACCGGACAGTCTCCTCATCCAGGCTGCTTAGTTCTGGCTGTGTTGTCCGCAGAACACAACTGGCCTGGCTAGCCACTGTGCACTCCCCCTTCACACCCCAGCACTGCCAGCTTCCGAGGCTTCACAAGAACCTGGGGTTAAGTCCCTTAGAGAACCGCCCGCCCGCGTAGCTACTTTCCTGTCTCCTTTACCTCTGAGTAGAGCATCTCCTCACATTAGCTCTGAGATCTCAGTGAAGTATCAGGTTTACCCACTGGGAGGCCTGGGACCCTCTTCAAAACTGAACGCAACAGAGAAAACATTGTGCCCCATACTCTGCAGCCAAGAGTATGTGCTGAGACCTCACCTGGCTGTGCTAACACACGCACCCTATAAACACCAGACTCTGCAGCCGGGAGTGTGAGCCGAGACCTCACCTCACCATGCTAACACGCTTACCCTATACACACCAGCAATGTCCTCAGTACCTCTGTGCACTGTCACGGTTCCAGATAGAGTTGAATCCCTTCAGCATGCCCTTCTAACAAACATGAGAAAAGGACAGGCTCTCTCTCCCTCCCCCTCCTCCCTGTGCTCCTCCCTCTGCTCCTCCCTCCTCTCTCTCCCTTTCTCTCTCCCTATCTGAAACTGGAGGACCCAGCAGTTGCTCTATCATGTCTTGCCCATTTTTATAACATTAATGCCTAGCACTTATATAAATTTAATTATTAATCAATTAATGCAGAGAAAGTCTGAGTGCCGTGATGCTTCCCACTATCTGGCTTCCAGAAATACATTCTTCTCTGTCTGTGTAAGGTCAATGAAGGGGGAATGAGGACAGAAACAAGTGTTTAGTTCTCTCTCGTCCTATCTCAGCTACTGGTTCGTGACCACCCTCCATTCCCCCCACCCTCGCTAGATGTATCTCATCTCTTTTGCAGTCAAAAAGGAGTCTGGCTGGCTATGGTGGTGGCCAAATGTTGGTAGGATAGATTGACAGAGTGGAAGCAGGAAGGTCACCAGTTTGAGGCCAGCCCGGGCTACAACTGGGTTGATGAGCTGGTTCAAGGGGTGAAGATGCTTGACCCAGCCCTGACAGCCTGCGTTCAGTCCCCGGGACCTATGAGGTAGAAGGACGGAATTGACTTCTGCAAGCTGCCCTCTGGCCTCCAATAAGCACACTATGGCCTATGCACACTCACGGACACTGGAAAACTAATGAATGGGGGGAGGAGTTTGGAGTGGGTTCTGGAACCATCTCAGAACTAGTTTCTGATGAAACCCTCAAGACTGAATGAATTTTCCAAATATAAATAAAGAAAAAAAAAGAAGGACCTCTCATCTCATTCAAAATTCCAAAATTCCTTGTTACATGTTTATTCATTTGGATTCCTAAGTCAGAGCTACTGAGAATTCAGGGATGGAGTTTGGTTTGCAAGACGGGAGATACGTGGTCCCGAGGCAGGCTGAGACATGGGGGTTTGTGTGTCTCTGCTTCTCTTGGCTGATTAATTTCAGTTCATCTTTCTCTCATTTGGGGGTAGGGGGTTCAAAATCCTAGGCTTGGGATTCATGGCTGTAGGGCTTCCCACAGGAACAATACCCCACTGGGCGGGATGCCAGGGCTTCCTCCAATCAGAACACAGCTGTGCTGCCCTGCCAGTGTGGACCAATAGCCAAAGAGTTCCTGTAGCAAATGGGTTTAAATGCGAAAGGAAAAGTGCAGGAAATCCTGTCGGTCCATTTCCCCCTGAGTAACAGATACACTATTCAAACACACTGAAATCCCTTCTCCTTTTCAATCCCTGCTGCAGACTGCTCACTAAAACAGCGCCTCTCGGGCATCCGTTTGGATCCAGGACCCTGAAAGCCGGAGCTCTGCTACCTTCTCTTCTTTCTAATTCTCTCACCTCTGTGCCCAGAATAAACGCTGCATCCGTGGTCGTGTGGGCCAACTCCAGTGACCCTGGCTCATCTTTTGGGCTCCTTTAAGGAAAGTGTGGCTTCTAGGAGGTGGATCCCTGCTGTTTGTGTTATCCAGGGTCCACAGTTGGACCTGAGGAGAGGCTACAGAGCTTCACCATGGGCTGTCGGATCTAATGCCGCTGTTCCTCACTGGTCGCATTCCCCCCACCCCCGCCCGTTTCTGGTAGGCTCCAACTCGGGACCGATAGTCTCCCTGCAGATCTACTGGCTTCCAGAGAGCCTGGCAGCGGGCTTCGATGTTCAGGCCACCCGATCCTTACTGCACAGTGAAGACCATCACAGGACCGCCTGGAACCAAGCTCAGCAGCAGAGACCCAGGGAGCTCGAATGGACATGGCTGTGCTCAGTGAAGCCACCCTGGAAATGGGGGTGGAGTGAGGCGGTGCTGAATGTCCTTTCAGGAAGCAAGAGTTCTGGGGAGCGGGGGGGGGGGGGGGGTCTACCCATTGCATGGCTCTGAGATTAAATCCGAATTCACGGACAGGGTGGATTATGTAACCAGAACAAGTGTGCCTCTTGGCTTCATTTCAGCAACCTGCCGTTAGAAGCAGCTAAGACCATTTACTGAATTTACAGTCTGCTACATTCCAGGCATTCTGCTCAGCACTTCGTGCACATATTTGAGTCAATCACTTCTAAATGTTGGGTGTCCGTTTCCATTTTCCTCTGCTTGATCAGTGGGATTGGATAATCCTAGTCAGTGCAGGCGAACTCAGGTCTCAACAGCTCCATTTAATCCCCACTGCTTCATACTGAGGTGTTGACCATCCAGGCACCCCAACATGCTCCACCCCCAACTTCCCGCAAACCTTTCTCTCCCAGCAGCATCTCCAGAATTTGTTCCCCATAGATGGGCTCCCACATAGAGCAACTGCTACCAACAGGAACCTAACTTTGAGAGGTCTGGGTTCAGATGTCAGACTCCTTCCAGCAGTGTGTCTCACCCATGACTGTGGTTTAACATCTGGAAACCTAGTTTTGCCTCTGTGCTGCCAAAAGGAGAAAAATCTGTGTTGGTTGATTCTTTGCCTTCCATAAACTCTTAATCTGTATGTTTCCTCCTAGACACGTGTTGATGAAAGCCTTGCACAAATTCTTGACTACACGTTGATAATACTCACATATACATCACAGGATTGTTTGTGAGGATTCAATCAATCAACGTCCTTTCAGAATGTTTGCTTACACTGTGAGTCTGCCTAAGGCGCCTTCTGATTGGTTCAAAAAGAGCTAAATGACCAATAGCTAGGCAGGAAGAGAATAGGTGGGACTTCCGGGAGGGAGGGAGGGAGGGAGAGAGAGCGCGCGATTGAGACTGAATCTAGATGTGATCTAGGTGTGATTTCGCCAGGGACTTGGAACAAGTCGAATGTGCCCTACTCAGAAGAGGTACCTGAGTCACATGACAGAAAGTAGATTTAAAAATACAGGTTAAATTATAAGAGCTAGTTGGGGAAAAGCCTAAGCTAAGGTCAAGCTTTCATAATTAATAAGTCTCCGGGTCATTATTTGTGGGCTGGCCATCAACAATAGTCCGACAAGAAAGTTTGCTCCACAACACATGGAAAACACTAACGCTTGTGCCAAAAGCCTGTGTGTGAGTTATTAGGGGTGGTGGCGTCAGTTGATTTTGTTTACTGAGTAAGGCAAGGAAGCGTGCGGTGGATTTGGGGAAGAATACTAACGTGAAGGGGAAGTTTTTGAAATGCTGGTGTTTAAAGGGCTTAGCTTTGGGTGTGAGGGAAACACGCCAGCAGCCCCCATCCCTGTGTGTAGGTTAACCCAGGGCAGCAAGGCCAGGAGGCAGCGAGAGACCAGAGGTGCAGGGCCTGGAGTTACCCTGCTTTTCTAAACTCCAGACAGACTGCCAAGTATACAGCATTTCTCCTCCTAATTTTAAAGACACTGATCATCGTAATAGTAAAGACATTGAATGGCACACAGATGATGAGGTTTGTTAATTTATTTTTTATTTTATGCACATGGGTGCTTTGCCTTCCTTTTGCCTTGCTATCCGTGGACTTTTGATCCTGTACCTGGGAAGGTTAGAAGAGAGGGTTGGATCACTGGAACTGGAGTTATACATGGTTGTGCGCTGCCAAGAGAGGGCTGGAAATAGAACTCAGGTCCTCCAGAGGAACAGATCTTGCTCTTAACCATTGAGCCATCTCTCCAGTCTGAAATATTTTTTTAATAAGAAAAAAACAGTGCTGTTTTTAATAAGCAAAACAGTATCAATATTGTGGTTGCTTTCCCAGTGGTTTCATACCTCCCTACCACCTCCCAGCCTGCCCCACTGTTCTGCTTCCCAAAGGCAGACAGACCCAGCTTCTCTTGCAGACTCCCCGATCCCAGCCCTTCTGGGTCCCAGTCTTGAGGAGGGGTAGCCATGCCAACAAGGTGATTCCTGAGTGGGGAGGCAAAGAAGAGGAGCTTGCCATCCCTCCCTGGGTGGGCAGGATGGAGGCCAGAGGAGTTTCAGAGAAGAACTAGGGCATCCCAGGAGGTCAAGTCCAAGGCCTCTGCAGGACAGATGGTGCATCAGAGGACAACATTCTGAGAGGGTCCTCCAAAGATCTGCAGGGCGTCTTCTGGAACCTTCAACTAAGCAGTGATGCAAACCGGTAACAGGGAGGGTAAGAGTCACACTAAAGGGTTACGTTGCAGTGTCTCCTGTTCCACAAAGACTGTTTCTGTTCCCTTCAGCTAGAGCAGACAGGCCTCGAAGAGACGAGGCTGTGCTGTTGTGGGGAAATGCATCAATCGTGGCATATTCAAATGGTGGCCAAACACATAGAGGAACCCTGGATGTACACTGCTGAGTGGAAGAAACCAGTCTGGAAAGGATGCAACGGCTTTTGCCTTAATCCCAGAAGAAATGACAGAACATGAATTAAAAAGACAACTATCCATAGTAACAATGAGGATGGGAGACGCGGCAAGTCCAGAGAACGATCTGCGTGCCTTCAGAAGCTGGATGAGTGGCAGCTGATCCAGCTAGAGACACTGAGACCAAAGCTCGGAAGAGAAGAAACGGCCTAGAAGCCAGCAGGGTTAGTGTCAGAGCCTCAGGAAGACTTCAGAAGCAGAAGCACCGGGGGCCTCAGGAAGTGAGAAAGCCAGAGGATCCGTGTGGGAGAAGTGGCCCCAAAGAGTAGCCCCCTGCCTGAGTCCGCACTGAGGGCAGCTGCTCCTGCCCCACCAGAGTCTGCCGGTGCAGAAAGAGAGCTGGAGTGGCTTTGGATTGGGAGTGACCAACAATGTATTAATCATTTTATAATAATAATATAAGGGGTGGTCAAGACTTTTTAATTCTGGAAATGAAGGGCGAGCTGACACACTTCACTGTGAGTTGGACTTGTGCCTCCAGACAGACAGACAGACAGACAGATAGACAGCTAAGAGTGCGGCTGGGGAAGCAAACCAGCAGGAGGAAACACCTACAGATGTCCACTCCTGGGAGGGCCTCCCAAAGCATGGCTGAGAACAGAAAAAATGGGATGAAAGTCAGCCCCGTGTGCTGGCAGGAGCTTCTAATTCATATTTAAGTAACGCATTCCAGCACAGCCAGGATCGCCTGCCTCATGAAGCAAGTCTTGGAAAGGAAGATGGGATAGAACACACCAACAGGAGAGGCACAAGGCGAAAGGGTATAAGAAGCATGAGAAAATCCCACCAAAACTTTCAAATTTTTATTTTAAAGTTTACTTCTTGGGGCTGGTGAGATGGCTCAGTGGTTAAGAGCACTGACTGCTCCTCCAGAGGACCTGGGTTCAATTCCCAGCACCCACATGGCAGCTCACAGCTGTCTGTAAATCCAGTTCAAGAGAATCTGACATCATTATACCAATGTGCATGAAATAAAGTTAAATAAAGTTTACTTCTTAAACTTTTGCAGCTTTTTTTGTAATTTTTGGTTTATTATGCTATGTGTATGGATGTTTCGTCTGCATGTATGTGTGTGCACCACATGCATGCCTAGAGCCTGCAAAGACCAGAAGAAAGCAATGGGTCCCCTAGAACTGGAGCGACAGGCGGTCGTGAGCTGCTGTGTCGGTGCTTGAACTCAAACCCAGGTCCTCTGGACGTGCTCGTAACCACTGCATCATCTCTCCATCCCTCCTGGCAAAACTTAGAAATAATATTCTCAGACAAAAAGAAAAAACATTGGGTCTGTGAAATAGGAACATGATGCTAAACAAAGAGTATTTTTTAAAAGAATTTTTAAAAGCTAAAAAGTCCTAAGAAAAAATTAAAATCCACCAGAAAGTTTAGAAGGTTTATTAATTAAAGTCAGTCAGAAAACGAGAGAGAGAGAGAGAGAGAGAGAGAGAGAGAGAGAGAGAAGAGAAGCAGGGAGGACAGGAACAGAGAGGGTGACTGTGATAAAAACCAGAGATGTGGCCCTGGCGGGCTTCTGTAGCATGGGGAGCCCTTCACCCCAGTTGCTATACACGGTTAATAAAAAGTCCATATTTTTCTTTATTTCTCAGAAAAAAAAAACAGAGACATCAGAGGATTAGCCCACAGCCTTACCATCCAAGTCATCAAAATCTACGAAGAGAAAGGGGGGATGTTACTTTAAAGGAAACAGTAGCATTTCTCATAACCAACGCCCATAATTTTCAGACTTAAATGGTCCCTGAAGTACTCGTCACACAGTTTTGTAAACACATGCAAGCACAGTCTGATAAATGGACACAGCACACAGGTTCCAACAGACACAAACCCAGAGCAGGCCCTTTGGTCACGGAAGGCTCTTCAATGTCAGAGAAAGAGGGAGAGATCGCACACAAAGAATGGAGAGTCAGTAGGACATGAAGCTTCCCAACAGCTTTACTAGAAAAAGGAGCAGGGTGGGGTGAAGACACACTTTGATGAGCTAAAGGAAATGACCCTAGAATCTTAGTGTGAAGGTAGACTGGAGATATTTGAGCCATGTGTGCAGGCTGACAGGGAGGTACTCCAGTCTCTGAGTCTATGCTGTCTGAGCAGGCGGAGGCTGCCTCACTCGGACTGAGCTGAGAGAGAGAGAGATGGTTGCTGTCTGGAAGTGCACAGGTGAGGCTCGGACGGCACCCAGTCAAGTTGGGAGCGTAGGCCCCTGCCCCTCGCATCTATCCCAGCCCCCAGGCCTGGTCTGGACTCCAAATTTCAGCAGGCCAGGTCTTGATTCCTCCCTGGGGGTGGGGTCAGGACCACTCCCCAGGGTATTTAAGTGATCTCCCTCCCCCAAAAAAGTGGAACATGTGGTCTCCCTTTCTTCCTCCTGGGGGTTGTGTTCCTGCAGCTTCCCAGTTTCCCCTCAGGGCCACCCGAGAGCGCAGAACTCCCATTAAACCTGGATATTTCTTAATTTGGCTTGTTTTGATTTAGGTTGATTGGGAATTTTTGCGTCGGCAAGGAGCTCGCGTTAAGAAATATTCCTAACACTGACTTCCACTAAGTGCGGGTTGATGGCCATAATTGCCAGAATCTGCTACAATCAGGCAGTATCTGAAGAGCCATGATGATCAATGTCCTTCAGCGTACAAACCAGCCCATCAGCCAAGCGGAAGTCCATCCCATAATTCCAAAAGGATATCCTTAACAAACACTTGGGTTTTGCCCCAGGCTGAAGGGATCCAGAGCGCTCTGGGAGGGGTGGGGTGGAGACCAGTGAACTGAGGAGGATGGAAGGGTGTTTCCAGAGATAAATTACAAATGGCTCATTACAACACTCCACTATTACATACACCTATGAGTCTACAGAACTATTTCTTTTCTGTGGTGCCCTCGTTTGTCAAGGGCTCTATAACTGTCCTGTGCAGACCTACGTGACTTGAGAATGCATTGCAGCCTATTTGGCCTCCCTGCTCCAGCCTCCACTCTGCCTGGTCATTCCCCATGTGGCTAGAATGATGATCTTCCCCAAACCCAAACCGTATTGGTCACTTGGCCACTCAGCAGCATTTAATGACTTCCTGTTGTCTCCCGTTTCTCAAGTGCATGTAGCCAAATCTGACTCATCTCTCCACACACAGCTCTAAAATCCCCACCCTGTGAGATGCTTTCCAGTGAGACCCTTAAAGTGTGTTCCATGGCTACCTCTACCCACACCACCACACTTGGGTATTTTTCTATTTTCTGGCTGTCTTGGAGCTTTTCTGAGCCAGGGCTGTTTCCCGTCCCTCTTTGGGTCTCAAGCACCCCCAAATTAGTCAGTCCAAGCAAGGGTGAGCCCTCATTCACCCTGTCACTCTCTGAAGTTACCTATTTCCTCCTCAGGAGAAGTCTTTGCTCATAGGAAGGTTCTAGGCTCTCGCCCATCTCTAACGGGAGCAAGCACCCTCCGATCAGTTGTCCTCTGAGCAGCTGAGTCCCCCACAGCTCTCCTGAGTCACAAGGGCAGCTGTGTCAACAGGCTAGGCCTGGGAGCAGTGGGCACGGCCTCTGCTGATGGGCTGATCAATAGACGCATTTTTGTATATGAGGACTGTGAGGCCAAGCGCAGACCAAAGGCCTGCAGGGCCATGGGCACCAGAACAGGCGATTACCTTAGTCTGTTGTCTGCTGCTGAAACAGGCTCATTCACAAACAATATAAGTTTACTTGGCTGGTAGCTCTGGAGGACAGGAACACCAAGAGCATGGCACGGGCACTTGGCAGAGCCTCTCCTGCTGCATCATCGTGTGGTAGAGGGCAGGAGGGCAGGAGAAGGCCAAACGTCATGTTTAGAATAAATCCACCCACTCCTGTGGTTATGACACGGTCCACTCTGGAGGGCAGCCCATCACGACCCGGTCACCTCTTACAACACCCAGCTCTCCCCACACTGTTGAAATTGGGGATCGGGTTTTCAACACAGGAACCCTGGGGGACACACTCAAGCCACGGCAAGTGAAGGGTCAATTGTGACCTTCAAAGATTCATATACTGGAGCCTTGATCTCCATTGCAGTGGTCCGAGGCCCTGGGATCTCTAGGAGGCACGGCCTAGAAAAGAGACAGGCCATCTGGGGCCCCACTCTTGGAAAGGATCAGCGTAGCTGTACTGAGACCCTGCCAAACCATGGCTCCCTGTCTTATACTGTGCCCTTGTAATGTCAGTTGATGCCACACCCTTGGCCTCGTGGGACTAAGAGCTAAACAAACCTTTTTTATTCTTTATAAATTATCTAGCCCTAAGAATGTCATTGGAATATTAGGAAATAGATTAGCACCCGGCCGACATGTTGCCCTCAGCACCCTGGAAGCTGCGGTGGGTTGTTGGGGTGGAGGGGCTCAGGAGTGGGAGTTTAGTGTTGAAGGTGATTCGAGGCTGGCAGTGGGGGACCATGAGCCTTAATTCTACAGGCAATAAAGAGTACGAGGAGGTCCTGACAGCAGGTGACCTGAATGGGGCTTCATCCTGAAGAGAGAACAAAGTGCAGGCTACTGAGAACCTGTGAGGGAGCGAAACTCCTGCTGCAGGGTTTCCCTTGGTCTATGAGTGTCCTGGCTACTGGTGCGCCAGGAACAGCAGAGTCTAAGGAAAGTCTGGGCTGGGAAGGCTCTAAAGTCATGGATGAAGATAGCTGGGAATTCTCAGATGAACCAGGGGCTCAAGAGGTCAAGGGGGTGACTCATTGTGCCCCAGCTCTTTGGAGCTGTGGTACAGTTTGCCTGCTGTAGGCACAGTGGACTAGAGCTAGAAGGGCCTGGCCACACGGGGCAACATGTAGAGCCAGCATTTTGTGTTTGTTATCTGTTTGTAATTCTTGTTCTTTCTAGATCTACCTGCCTTTGTTTTTGTTCTTTTAACTTAGCCATCTATCTCGTTAAAGCATCCAGCTTGGCTCAGCAGCTCTGCACACTCAAGCCCACACTGAGCAGATTGTATGAAACCTGCATCTCAGGCAGGTGAAGCAACCGGCCCACTCAAGCAGGGCTCCGGGGGGTTCTAAAAGAAAGACCTGCTTGGCCACATGGTCCTCCTGCTCAAGTCTCCTTCCAGAGAGAATCCTCCAAGATTTTGGATTGTTTCCACTCAAGGGAAGTGAAAAACCTCTCCTAGCTACTCTCTGGACAGATGTCAGTTCTTGAATTCAGTTTTTGTTCTACAAACCACAAATTCCCTTGTTTTGTTTGTCATTCAGAATCCACGCTCCTCCCACCCCAGAAAGGAGAAAAAGTCTGAAATAAAAAAGCAACACACTAACTGAAACAAACAAACAAAAATCAGGTCTTTCCATGCTCTGACCTTATAGTAGAAACAATGATGGGGCCAATTTGTATCTGTTATTGAATCCAAACGGGCAACTTTTTAAACACACACTAATCTGAAGAGTAGAAATAGTTCCTTAGCCTCGTGCTTCTGGTCACCTTTTTCCTTGTAGCTGTTGTTCTGGTTCAGCTCCCTGAGCACCTGTCTTCTAGCTGCTTGCGGCTCTCTTTGCTGTGGAGAAGCATGTGAGAATTTTCAGGATCTGATTCTCGGCTCACCTCCCAGACCTATGAAATCGCAGCCCCGCGGCTCAAGTCTGAGGAATCTGAGCTTTTAATTAGTATTTCAAGCGACTCTAAGCAGGCATTCTAAGGTCCCAAATGATGGGCATTACTGCAGTGAAGGGTTACCTTGTTTAAATAGACACCTTCGTGGGCATGGCAGGCACACACACATGCATTTACTGACCATTTACTTAGCTCTAACGTCTTTAATTCCTGAACTAACTGTATAGCGGAAGCGTCTCCTGTAACATGAGGGGCTGGCTTGTTGGGGTATCTGTCCCACCCAGTACCCCACAGCCGACAAGTCCCAAAGAAAATCACACATAGTCTACATTAGGTTATAAACTGATTGGCCCATTAGCTCAGGCTTCTTGTTAACTCTTATAGCTTATATTAACCCATTATTCTTATCTATTTTAGCCATATGGCTTGGTACCTTTTTCAGCTGTCAGCTCACATGTTGTTTCTTCAGTGATCTGAAAAGGAATGGCAGAGGAAGCTTCCTGCTTCCCATAATTCTCCTGTTCTCATTGTATCACCTCTACTTCCTATCTGGTTTTCCCGCCTATACTTCCTGCCTGGCCAATCAGCCTTTTATTAAAATACATGATTGACAGAATACAGATAATTCTCCCATACCATTTCCCTCTTTTTTTTTTAACAAAGGAAAATACCCATAGTCCATTTATTGGGAATGTGGGCGTAGTATTCCAGGCTACTTCCTGCTGGTTGGGGATGCTGATAATCTTATGGGGATCTAAAGAAAATTTAGAGTTATAATCAAGTCCTGACTGGAGTATCCTGTGAGTCTCAATCATCTCAGGCAGTAGTCTTGAATCAGTTCTGGATGTAGAACTTAGACATTCGGGCCATCTGTTCCTACTGGGGATTTCTCGGGTGGTCGTCCTTTGTCAAACTGGATTTTTCTTAACTCAGAATGGATCCACAGTCTCTCATTTTCTGTGGAAACAAAAGCAAAATCTCTTCTCCAAAGTAACATACCTTTTGACTTCAGTTTTAAAGCCAAGATATTTTCAAAATACCTATCTTGGATTAGTTCAGCAGCATTTATAAACAAAAGTCTTTTAGCAGCTGTTGCTCCTTCTTCAGCACTCAAACATTTCAAAGAGAGAATAATAACATAGAAGATACTCCATGTATTTTTCATCTTTATGTGGCTTTATTTTAACCTCTACTTCTCTTATTTTTACTTTTACTTTTTGAGACAGTGTCTCTGTATACCTTTGTCCTGGAATAACTCTGTAGACCAGGCTGTCCTTGAACTCACAGAGATCCCTCTGTCTCTGCCTCCCCAGTGCTGGGCTCAAAGGTGTTTGCTACCATACCTTGAACTCACAGAGACCTGTCTGTCTCTGCCTCCCAGGCATTGGGATTAAAGGCGTGTGCTACCACACCTTCAAGTCACAGAGGTCAATCTACCTCTGCCCCTTGAAGTCACAGAGGTCAACATACCTCTGCCTCCCAGGCATTGGGATTAAAGGTGTGTACCACCACACCCAACTACTCTTTTTCTTTCCTTTTAACTTTAAGAACTTTAACTTTTAGCCTGCACATATTTTTAACACATAGTAAACCATTTAGAGGTTTTCTTCGTCTTTGAATCTCTCTTTACTGTATATCTTTCTTTTTCTGACCACATGAGTCTCTAATGGGTAGGACTAAAGCTGTGGCTTTGACAGTTAGATCCAGCCCATTCCTTAGCTTTCCAGCCTCATGGCAGAGGTACCGCCAGAGCCATGTTTATTGTCACAACTCTACAGTGTTTCAGGGTCCCTGCCAGCAAGCAAGTTGCAGCATTCTGCTCACAGACCACTCTCAGTCGGACTGCCTGCCTGGAAGAGTCAGAGTTTGCCCTGGCAGGACAGCCTATAAAGTCAGCATTTTAAAACAGCACAGCTTTTTTCCTGCTACGGCTGACAACCGAAAAGCATGCGTTCAGCTTTTCATCAACACCGTTTAAGTGTTTCGTGGCAGGAGCTCTTAAAAGAGCTGCAGGGTTTTGCAGCTAAAGCTGAGTCAGGAAGCCTCTCTTAGATGAGAGTGTTTGCTTGCCTCTAGCCAGCAGAGCAGACCCGAGAAATTGCTGCTGCCAAGAAAGCATGCTTTACTCTATTCTTTCCCAAGCTTTCTCAGGCTTTCTGTGGATTCATTTATCCACGTTAGGCAGCCATTTGTAGTGAGGAGCTGCGGGCAGGCCTGCTTTTCATCCCGCCCGGCTCCCGAACGGCTAGCTTAGCCCGGAAATAACAACACACAAATTGTATTCATTTAAACACTGCCTGGCCCATTATCTCTAGAGAGTTAGTTACTAACTCTCACATCTTGATTAACCCATTTCTAATAATCTGTGTAGCACCACGAGGTGGTGGCTTACCGGAAAAGATTCAACATGTCTGACCTGGTGGCTGGCTCCATGGCGTCTGCCTCATTTCCCTTCTTCCCAGCATTCTGTTCTGTTTACTCCGCCTACCTAATTTTCTGTCCGATCAGAGGGCCAAGGCAGTCTCTTTATTAACCAATGAAAATAACACATAAACAGAAGGCCCATCTACATCAGTCTCCATTTGTACAACAGAGGAGACAAAAAGACTTTTGCCAAGGGTCGCAGGGGTCAGGAAATAACAGTGCATGAAGGACTTGCCTCTGTCTTTTCTGTTGAATGGGTGCGAATCCCCAGGGAAGTGAGCTCTACAGGTGGCTGTCTGGTGGACTTCTATGCTTTCCCCTCCTCCCTGGGCAGTGGGGACCCATCTCTAGTCTTTTCCTGGCTGGAACCCTCTTGGGTTAAAGTTGTAGGAGGAATTGAGTTGAGCTGTCTCTCTCTGCAGCAGTCCTTTATCTTAACCCTTGAAAACCTGGGGATGTGTGTAGAGCCATGCTGATATTGTTCTAGACTGATCTCTCACTTTTCAGAGTCTTTAGGGTGAGTTAGAGCTGATGGCCCATGTATCTCACCCACTGGCTATGGCTGGCCATCATTTCTCTAGCAGAGACTGAACTCTTGGACCAAAAAAGTATGAGTCAGGACAGCAGAAGCTTCTAAAGTGCCAGTTTTGAGGCCCAGGTGGCTCTAACTGAGATCATCCCAAGGCCCCTGAGAAAGGAGTTGTCTGGGATCTGAGGGTCAGCCTCTGGGATTCTGAAACAGTTTGCCTTGCCCCCTCTCCCACCCTGCAGGGGAAGTACCATGGAACCCTACAGCACAGCCTGGGGACAGAAAGGGCACATTTGACTCAACAGTGACAGGAATATTTGGGAGCCCATAGGGACTGTGAGCCAAGCTCTCAGGAGCTGAACCAGGCTGTTCTGTTTTGTTTGAGAAAGGGTCTCTTGCATCCCAGGCAGCCTTCCGTATATAACTGAGGATGGCCTTGAACTCCGGATCTTCCTGCCTCTGCCTCCCAAGTGTGGGATTACCAGCACATACTTCCCTATGCCTGCTTTTACAAAGTGCTGGGGACTGAATTCAGGGCTTCGTGCATGTGTGGAGAACACAGAGAGGTTGAAACAGTAATGGGTAAGGAACTTTATCAGCTAGGTGATAGCTGATAAAATAATAAGATTAAATAATAATAATCTAAGGAAGGGAAGGGTTTACTTTGGCTCACAGTTTGAGAAGAGCCCCGCCATAGTAGGTAAGGTGCACCATAGCCTACTGGCCACTTTACATATGAAGTCAGGAGCAGAGACTAGTTCATTTCTTTTATGTCTGGACCCCAGGCAAAAAAGTATGGTGCCACCCACATTCAGGTTGGGTGGGCCTCCCACCTCCATTAGTCTAATCTAGTCTAAAGAAAACCTCACAGGCATGCCCAGAGGCTTGCCTCCTAGGTGGATGTGGATTCTGTCAAATTGACAGCCAACATCGCTCATCACTGAGGGACATAGCAGAATGTAGGCCAAGGGAACCACTAGAGACAGCAGGCAGTGCCGCCAACAAGGCTGGGCCCTCAACAACCAACCTCAGTAGAGGCAGCAAACATTCCAGCACATACAACAGGCACCCGTACCAGACACTGAGGAGGCAGGTGACCATACCAGACCCCGAGGAGGGCACAGGACTGGCAGTGTTCCATCTTGGTAAGAAAAGGGTGACGGTGAGGAGGGAGAGGTGCCTTACCATAGAACAGCCTATTTAAAATGGTTTAAAAATTACTTTGTGTGTGTGTTGGGGTACATGGGTATGTGCATGTACATGTGGACATCAGAGAACAATTTAGGGGGGCAGGTCCTCTCCTTCTATCATGTGATCCTAGGGATCAAACTCAGGTCATTTAGGCTTGGCAGCAAGAATCTTTACCCACGGAACCATCTTGCTGACCCCAAGACTTATCATCTAAATAAGGTTGGGCAAACTACAGCTGTGGCCATGTTGCCCTACTGTCTGTTGGTTCCCCCCTATCCCCGCCGCCTGTCACTAAGAGTGGGTTCTAAGTGCTGGGGGAAACCAAGAGAATATTGCACAATACATGAAATGTAAAGTCTGCTGTTGACAGATAATGTCCTATCAGGACAGAGTTGAATCCACTTTATATTATCCCGGGCTGCTTTTCAGGATGTAAATGCCAGATGGGAAGGCTATGGTGGAGATCTCAGGGTTTCCAAAGCCCGAAATCTTGGCTGTTCAGCCCTTTGTCGAAAATGTTTGCTTGAGCCTTGATCTAGAAGAGTCCTCCCCGGGCCTATATAATAGATTACTTATCAAATTAGTTTCCAGAGAAGTGGAGTCAGAAGTTCCCTGATCCCATGTGACCGGGCAACATCTTACCGCCTGCCCTTTGCCACAGACCCAGGATTGCTGGCTTCCCTCCAAGTCGTTAAAACCTTTAGGGTGGGGGATCAGGAACAACACAACCTTGTTGGGGAAAGGGAGCAGGCCCTGATGGGGGAGCCAGCAGATGCTCTGGGCCGGGCAGTGGAGCGGCATCTGAAACAGCAGTTTGGAGGGAGACCACACCCCTGCCATGCAAAGTCCCCTTTGTTACCCATCGCATCAGAAATGTGCACAGGCCAGCAAAACAGCAGGTCACACATGGACAAAAGGGCCTGCCGCGCTCAAGCGGGAGGGGTCTAGGCTTTTTTCAAAGTGCAGA